TAATCTCAAAACAAATTTACTTTCTGGATTAAAATTACAATGGATAACAAAAGATAGATTAACTTTGTAAACAACATAAACAATAGTGTCCCATGATTCTTTGGTGCAATCCATGGGATTGAGCGGTTTCCCTTTAAATATGCTGGAGTTTAAACCCTCTAGTACATCAGCTGGTTTAAGAATTTGTGTAATCATATTACATCAATGTAAATAGGCTTATATATTACAGTACGGGCAACACCAGAAATCTTTTACAGTGGATCTCGGGGGTGCATTGGTGTTATAAACTGAATTTACATTTATTTTATTTCAAAGTAGATACTTGTGCATTGAGTTGAATTTTAATGCATTATAGGTTGTTATATTGTCCTATATAGATTCGAAATTATCCCAAAAATTGTATTAGTTTACATATGTATATATATTTATGTATATTACAACATTTTACATTGTAAACTGCTAATGCTTGACTGAAAAAATAGATAAGGTGAACCGCATTATCCAGTGGCAACCATATTTACACATTAAACAACTTCATAAAAAGAAATTGGACTTACATGTGCATCATCTGTAAACTTCCATATCTTGACCATCTTGTCATTGGATCCAGAGATTATAGCAGTACCATTATGTGCCAATGCAACACATGAAATCCATGAGGAATGTCCCTCCAGTGTGTTTAGACATTTCCCGGATTCCAGTTCCCAAATTTTCAGAAGATCATCCTTTGATCCAGATACCATGTATTTATCGCCTGCTGATATGCATAGACATGATATACTGCTCTGATGGCCGTTGAAAACTTGAAGACAAGTCTGATTGACAATGCTCCAAGATTTCAGTGTTTCATCCTTGGAACCGGAAATTAAAATCTCTCCACTTGCACTTAATTTGATTAAAGTTATTGGCTTAGAATGAGCTTTGATTGTAGCAACTAAGTTTTCACCAGGTTCTTTATTCACATTCCATATCTTCAGATTTGAATCATCACTACCAGAGATGATTTGCTTGCCATCAGGATGGATCACCAAACATGTGACTGCAGCAGTATGACCTGTCAAGTTTGCAAGACAATTTCCATTTCCTGTGTCCCATACTTTTAAGATGGAATCCTTCCCACCAGTCAAAGCAAATTTATCATCAACAGATAGACAAAAGCATATGATAGCTCCCTCGTGTTTGGTGTCGACTGTAATGATACATTTACTTGAGTTTATCTCCCATATTTTCAGCTCTCCTTTTTTATTCACAATGCAAAGATAACGACCATCTCCTGAGGCTACCATGCTAACAATGGTATCTTCATCAGAACTGCCTATAGTTTTGATACACTCCCCACTTTCAAGCGAATACACACTGAGTGACTTTGTGCCGAATATTACTTGATTGTGGTCACTGGTGAATACAACATGTGGCTCCCCTCCAGTAGGTGATTTAAGAGAATGGATTAGTTCTCCATTATCTACGTTCCAGATATTAACAAGACATTCCGTACCAGACACCTCACAGGCAGAAACAGCTAAGTGGTCATCTGATGTGATTGCAACACTCGTCACCTTCTTGGGATGACCTGCAAGAGTCATTTTTAGTGGGCCCCCAGGGGGGATCAGACATGATGAGTTGGGTATTAGAAGTGGGATCTTCGCATCTTCACACCATTTAAATGCTTGCTGTACCAGATTCACAAGATGTTTATCATCAGCTCCTGGAATTCCTTCAAGTCTTCCTATAATCTGACCTGCTGTGGATAATGGGTCTATTTTAAGATTACTGCTGGCGAGCATCAGACCATCACGTACAAGCTGGATAGATTTATCTTGAACAATCAACAAAGCTTCATCATAATCTCCAATCATTTCCAAAAATGATGTTGCTTGAAGTTTTGAAAGAATCCATTGGAAGTTACACAACACTGCTTGCTTCAGCCTGTCTATTTGTCCAGAGTGCAAGAGATGAAATGGAAGCTCAGATAGCTTCCTGTGGTTGTACACGTCTCTGCCATACTCAAGTGGCTGACTAGCAACTTGACGATTTACAAGTTTAAGAGTCTTATTTCTCTTTGTGAGTGTAATTGGCTTATGTATTTCACCAGCGAATGATCCAAGAAAATACTCAGCGAGAAGGTAATGTCTGGTGGCCTTTGTATTTTTATTAAGATACCGTTTTTGTGTTGCTTCAATAAACTGTCTGTGGTACCAAGCAAGAACAGTTTTTCCACCTGCCTGTCTCTCCACCAAGTATTCATCAATATCATATCGTGCTCGTTTCCATAGTAGTGGAGGAACTCGGACAATAGTTTCAGTTGGTGGATCCCAATACTGGTAGACGTCATCCAAAACTTCATCATCAAGCGACAGGACATCTTCAAGTTCTGCTTCTGTGAGTCCATCACTTGCAGCTGAAATGTACCCCAAGGCATGAGAAACAAACACTTTACCATGCTTTTTTTCTAGGGCTTCAAACAAGAACTCGATAGCTTCTCTTACATCTCTTGCAACTGTGATATTTTCAGGAGGTGTGTACGACTTCCAGTGCACTAGGTTGTCAAAGACAATCTTTAAAAACAATGGCTGTGGGCATCCCATAAGTGCTGTGAGAATTGCTTCACGCTGTGTTTCAGTTATTGTTCTCTGTCTACTTTCCAACCAAGCATCGAGAATTTCCCGCCCCATCTCTCCAGTCAATGGCTCCATCTCCAAATAACAGTTGCTCTCAGAGACACTTCTTTTAAGTGTTTTCAAGCAACCATGTTCTTCTGGGAGCATAGAAACAACTATACGCACATGATCTGGGAGGGACTTTGGAAGCCAATTCAGAGCATGTGCGTCATTTGTTGCTGACAGTTGATCTATGCTGTCAAGAATAAGAATCAGAGGTGATTGTTTTGTCGGGAATGTTGTTAACGCTCGTTTGAAATACTGCACCAAATCTGTGTAATCTTCAAGTATGTGTGGCGCTGGGCTTGGTTTCTCGTAGTTTATACAAATCTATCAATTGAAAAAAATAAAAGTTAGTAATTAATAAATTAAATGGTATATACACACATTCGTCTTCAGAAGGTTGTTTTTATTTCATTCACTTTATGCTTTATTTGAGGTGGATTGTGCAATACCAGTTATTTGAATTGATGGTGATTGTCTGAACTCGCAAACTGAGGTGAAAAAATCCGCACCATGCATTTAATTTTTTAATACAGCCTGGGAATTGAGTCCTAAGCAACGATGACAACGTACGCCAAAAATGCAAAGAATCATGGGTAGTCACAACAACGACTCGCTATAGCCATCTGCCACATGCGCAAAGGACGACTCGCCTGCTTTAAACTCCATGACAATGATTTCAAGTAGATAATAACAAGTCATTGTCAATGACACGTCCCTGTTCCGTTCATATTTGAGTGACATATACATTCAAAGCAGATCATGACCGAAATGCACCTGCATATGTACAACACATTGTACTAAATCTGAACAAAATCCATCCATGCATGACTGAGATCCGGTTCCGGAATTGTGAAAATACGTGATTTTGATGCATTTTCGGCCTTAAAATTGCCATCATTCAGCTATTGTTAAGCGGACCATGAAACAAATGCCCATATCTATTTGTGACATGATGTACCATGTGTGTGTGAATTTTGAA